GCTTGTTTGTTTGTTTGTCCGTATTTCACGACAGAACGGAGTCAGGAAGGTTTTTGATTTGAGATAGTTGAAAAGATGGAGAGTATCATAGGCTACTTTTTGTCTTTTTCTAACCCCCTTCCACTTCCGTGAAACAGAGGTGAAAGTTTGTATGGGGTATTTTGCAATTTTCAATGTGGAAAGCTAACAATTGGTATGCGGGTTATTTGTGACCAGCATAGAATCGTGCATCATTTCATTTTTTTATTGTAAATCCTTCCCTCACCCCATTAAAAGAACGCGAGAGAAGCCGCAGACAGAGGCTAGTCTATGAATAAATTGTATTCAGTCAATTGAATTCGTATTTTGTCTTTAAAATCTCTGATGCAGCTGAATACTAATATTATTCCTTGAAAACCCACAGAACTTCATTTTTATATGTTGATGCCAAAATATATTATGGAAGTAGGACGCCATAACAATTACAAATCATCAGGTTGGTTACCATAGTAATGTTACCTGTCAGATATCCGTTTTCAGGTTTTCAGATAAATCGTAATAAATAATTTGAACTTTATGCAGCGGTAATAAATTACAAATTGACTCTCCATTTTATTTAGAAAACGTTTGTATGGGAAATAGAAAAATGCTGTTTTGAGGATTTTCCCGGCAATTATTCGAATTTTTCTCACCTTTTAAACCTTCCCTAGACCTCCACGAATAATTCAAGACCAAGATAAGATAAATCCGTTCAGCCGTTCTCGAGTTTTAGCGAGACTAACGAACAGCAATTGATTTTTATATATATAGATATATAGATAGATAGTGTTCGACGTGATTCTTTAATTTGACGTAACTTTTTTATTTATGAACCGATTGACATGAAACAAACACTAAAGCATAACTGAAGCATACCACAATATATTCGTGAAAACCGCATCCAACTCGGATAAGCCGTTTCTGAGATTAGCGTGAACAGACAAACAGACAAACAGACAAAAAAAAAAGTTAGTTACATTTTTGGGTTCGACATCGACATAACAATAGCCCCTGCTATTTTTTTTATTTTTATTTTCAATGTACAGACAGCACTTTTCAACAATTTTATTATATGTATAGATAATGTTGCTATAGTAGTTCTGTTTTACACTTTTAAAGTTAAAACTAAATTTTATCAACAAAATATTTGGCTATGTTTACTTTTGTTTCATTATTTTCTATGTAGGTTTAGAGCAACCAAACCTAGAAATAACATTTAAAAAATTAATTTCAATTAAGAAAATGACTTAACCAAATGTAAGAAGATATTAAAATATTCTGTAAACAAACTTGTTGATCCAGCGCCAGCTGTGTTAACTTGGTTTAAAGTTTTAATTTATGTTAATTTTGTTGTTATCTTAACGTCTGGTAAAATGTCTATAAAATACTACAATTAGAACAAAATTAGTTAGTTACAAAATTAATGAACGAAATGAAGTCTTAAGATTGCCAAATAGGGGTAAGTGCCCGGCGTAAGGTGCCGTTCGGCGTTACGTGAGTTCCCCCCAAACTATCAGGTTTAATTTGTTGATGCGGGCAGAAAATTTTTTTTTCATTATAAATATCACATAAAACCTGTAGTGTGAGTGACACCTCGCCCTATAAGTTAGTAGTGTAAGTTAGTTATTAGACACTCAATTAAAGTTATTCCTAACACTAACACGTCTCCCTCATTGCTCCACATTGCATGGCGACCCTGCCAGTGCTGCCACGCGGGCAGCGCTGTGCACGAGTACAATGTTGAATATTTGCAATTTGGTCTGTGTTTGTTGAAAATAATAAAGACTATTTTAAAAGTGGACTAAAAGTGCGTATTAGTGTGCGTAAAGTGGAGAGATATTGCTGGCTGCCGGGTGTCGATGCAGCCTGATGTGGACCTGCCGGGAGCGGTTGGTGTCTTAGAGGATGGAGCCGGGAGATGTTGGCGACCAGGTAGCGTCTGAGAGAATCTCCGCTACCCTGGGTACGCGATGTAACCGGACTCGAAAGAATTTGAGTGTTTAAAATATTAAGTGTATTAGTGTAGTTAAAAAGTGAAAATGGACACCAATATATAGAACTAGTAGTAAGTTACACATAATTTTAATAAGGGCCCAAAGTATATTAGGTATTTTAGCTATTTCACATAATTTTTAAACATTTTATTTATAATATAAGTGTACACTAGATATAGTTCACGCCTGTTGACAATATTATTAGTTTTTGTATTGAATCATTCTGTGCTTAATATAAGTAATTTTGAATGAACTAATGTTAAATTTTGCAATTTTTTGTTGTAATTTAGACATATTTTTTTTAATTTCATAGTTCGCTTACATTAATCAGTTTAAAGGAATGTTCCCATGCCCATATAGGTAAATGATGTCATACCGAGTGTCAGATTGTATTGAAAGAATCGTGTTACTTGACACCGATTAACAATAACAACTGCACTTTGGTTTTGTCTTATGAAATAAATAAATTAGATGAATGAAATTTGATATTAGCTAGGCTTTGGAATGTGTTCATTGTTTGTATAAGTATGTAAGTTTGGTTTTTAGGTAGTTTGGAATAACTTGGTACACAAGTTTTGGCGTATGACTGAGGGCTGATCACCTAAAGACAACGTAATATTTTGTAGACCAAGCAATTCAATTAGATTGTGTTTATGTTAGGTTTGATAGTTGAAGGATAAGTTAATAATAAATATAATAGGTACACATGGTAAGGTACAGTTTAGTGTTCATGTCCTTAGTTTGATCATGGTGTAGACGAGCTCTCTCTGTGAAAATTATTGGAGGTTAAAAGAACCTTAAATATTGACACTAAATTTTAAAATAAATATAGAAAGGAATAAAAGTAAGCACAAGTATAATAATGAAATGAAGAATGATAAATAAATATAATGAAATAAATATAATTAATGAACAGGCACCGGAGAGTCCTGTATAAATATAATGTGCTTACATGTGTATGTACCTTACGATTATAATAAATAAATATTTAAGCAAAATATAATGTATTATGTGTACCTAGATATAGAACAGTGAGTAAGAGATTATAATAAGTTGTAAAAGAGATAACAGTTGTAAGTATTATGATTATTTCAGTTGTAAGAATAATTTACCAAATGAATTTCAAAATATACCTATAACTTGAATCGTAAAGTATTTAAATATTGTCAACAGTGCGAATATATTAAGAAATAATTATGTATGTTTGATATAATGATCAAAAAAAAAAAAAAATAAATATTTTTTTTTTCCAAAAAAAACGGGGGAGGTGTAGTGTGAGTGACACCTCGCCCTATAAGTTAGTAGTGTAAGTTAGTTATTAGACACTCAATTAAAGTTATTTCTAAGAACAACACGTCTCCCTCATTGCTCCACATTGCAAACCGACGTGACACAACACTTGCGTTGTGAGGTTACCGGAGGCTCAATTACCCCTTCCTCCCACTATTTCCCAATCCCTGAATCTCTAACAATCCTTAAATGCCTAATCCCAAATAGCCGGTAACGCACTTGCTACGCCTTTGGTGTTCCAGGTGTTCATGGGCGCGCCGATTGCTTACCATCAGGTGATCCAACTGCTCGTTTGCCGGCTTATATAATAATAATAAGCCTTTATTACTGAACTAAACTAAAATAACAAAAGTAATAATTAAACTAACTTATAAACTAACACATCAGTTTCGGTTTAGTGATCAGCGTGTCCTGTGACACATAGGCCTCTTCCAGCTTTTTCCACACTTCCCTGTCTCTGGCTTTCCTTGGCCAGGTATTCTCAGCGACCTTTTTTATGTCGTCCATCCATCTTTTTACCTGTCTGCCTCTCTTTCGTTTACCATCTCGTGGTTGCCACTCCGTTAAAATTTTAGTCCATTTTGTTTTGCTATCTCTTGTCATATGTCCTGTCCATCTCCATTTTAATTATATAGTACCATAAAAATACTCTGAACCCTCGGGTCCAGAAGGTACTCGTACCTTACCGGTTAAAAATGACGAAGTATCCTTTTGGATATCTAACATCGATTCCTAAGAGGCCTACATGCCATCATGGTAAACGAAGTAGGATTTTTTTGTTGAAAACAATGTCTGATTTCTTAGTTCTACGATATTTCCAAAATCCGCTGTTACAGGCACCATACCAAAAAGTCACACAAACTTTGCTACTTCCAAGTCTCTCGATCCCAGTAAAGCCTTCGCAAGATATATGCTCTACTCAGTTCATCCTATTGCTTATATGAGGGATCTTATTTCAACAGTATTAAGTCTTACATTGAAGTTTTAAAATTTTGTTTTTGTAAAAATGGAACCAGCATAATGCATTTTGGATTGTGTGTATTTTCTTAGATGGAATAAAATAATGTTATTTGGGATATTAGATCCTAGATCCTGGTCTGCATATTACGGATGGTATGCTTGGTTACAGTAGAAACAAAATATTGTTATGAGCATCGCTTGCGTGAAGTTAGGTTAGAGTAGTCTGAAGACTTGACAATTCAATGTTAATTTTAATCAAAACAAATTTTTTTGTTCATTTAATATCAATGTCAACATTTCAGGAGGACAAAAACATTTACTAAATCATCCATGATTATTTATGGAAACAGAAAAAATAGTGAAATACATGTTTCAAAATAGCAGCTCCGTGTACTGCGTGTCGTGTCAAACTTTTAATTGGCCAGTGAGAGGTGACGAGTGGTTTCAGCGTCCAAACTTCATTTAGCTTATACAGCTATACTTTTTTGTGGGTTCATGAAAATGTTGAAAAATGCTTAGTTGATTAAAATAGTACTGTATACTTTCATTAACTCGTGTCGTGGCATTTATTGGCCCTATGTGGTTGAAAGGATTTGGGTCTGAATAAAAAAAAATGCTGTGCCGAGTTAGCGCATGATTTATAAATATTTTACTTGACGTTTGAATTCATTATTTGGATAGTTTATGTAATAAAAGAAACATGCACATACAATTAAAAAATGTAATTTATTAATTAAGTAATTACAGAACTCATTTCACGCAAAACTGGCCGATAAATTTTCAAGTTGATCTTCCCTAATTTGTTCATGTTCAACATCATTGTAAGATCCGGCATCTTCTATTATGAAGTCAGATACCTTTTCTCCAATCATGACAACTGCTGAGAAAATATTGCCTGCTACTAAAGTCGGCATAACGCTTGCATCGGCTACTCTTAGTTTTTTAACGTGGCGAACACGTAGCCTGCTGTCTACGACAGATCCCATAGCGCAGGTCCCGCCATAATGACCCATGCTTGTCATCATGCAAAGAGAGTAGCATCGCCAATACCCTCGACTTCCCGCCTCAAATGCATCACAATGTGGTGATGTCAAATCTACCCTAGACGCAGATAATTTTTTAAATGCTTCTGTCTCTTCGACTTTTAAATAATCAACAATATAGTCAACAAAGTTGTCTAAATCACTATCATTTGAAAAGCTGTCAGTAATCACCAATGGTGGATCTTGAGGATCGGTACTGTTGAGACGAACTTGTCCCCGGGAGTACCCATATAAATTGCTTAATAAAGTAATTAAGACCTGTCTTCCATTGGCTTCTTCATATAGTTTATTACAGAGAGAATTTGGAAAGTCAAAAGTTAATGCACAGAATTGTATTAAAAATTTCATATTGTTCATGATGAAGCCGATTGCTTCATAGTCTGGGTATTTTATATGATGTTTAATGTGGGACACGTTCAGTGATGCGTATCCAACAAATAGTCCGGAGGGATATTCATGGGGATCTACAGTACCTCTTGTTAATATCTTATTTGTTGTATGTGGAATGAATGCTGCTATGTGGTCTTGCAAATTTTTCCCAACGGGCAAGTCGGCGATGCAAGGAATATTTAATTTCTTCAAGTCTCTACAAGGACCTATGCCTGAGAGCAATAACAGTTGTGGTGATTTTATAGCACCAGCAGTTACAATGATCTCCTGTCTTGCATTAACAGTAATATTTCTTCCATCATCAGTGATAAGTTGAACGCCCACTGCGTTGTGATCTTCATCAAATAAGATTTTTGTTACTAAAGTATCTTTAGCCACCGCTAGATAAGAACTGTAAGTAACATGTTTTAAGTACTGAGATCCAGAATCTTGTCTCCTACCATTGTACACTGTTATAAGACCGCGTGCGTACCCATTTCTGTTTCCATCTATATCAGCAATAATTGTTTTACCCAATTGTTCAAAGCCTTTTAAATAATCAGCAGTATAGGATTTGTTTTCCCTTGTGATGCCTATGTATCCATTGGCACCATAAGAATCTTTTAGGGTAGAGTTCATTATTGCAGAATCATGAATAGCTTCAGATTTGATGAAATATGGTAACACGTTTTCCCATTTCCACGTAGGATCTTTTGTGATCCAGTGCCATTTTTCAAAGGTTTTAGGGTTTCCTCGGGACCAGACCATGTAGTTTAATGCACCTGTTCCACCAAGCATTTTACCTTGAGTTAGGTCTACGTTTTTACCTTTATGACACTGGTAGCTGTATGTGTCATTCACAGAAGTATAATTCCAATCTGAATGTGAATATTTGAGGTATGGTATCAGTGATGGATACTGGAACAATAAGATTGTTTTATAGTTTCCTGAAATACTGGTTTTTTAATGAAAGGCTAAATATGGTGACTTACCACACTTTCGAAAGGAGCATCTTGTCCAGCTTCAATGAGGAGCACATTGTATTTCTTCTGGGCAAGCCTGGTCGCTATAACACTGCCTGCTGTACCGCCTCCGACTATGATGTAGTCAAAACTATCACCAGCTGCAAATGTACGAAAATTGAAGCCTATGACTGATGATAGAAGAAAAGATGACAATTATTTTTTTATGACATAAGCCGGTAAACGAGCAGACGGATCACCTGATGGTAGGCAATCGCCGTCGCCCATGGACTCCTGGAACACCAAGGCGTTACAAGTGCGTTACTGGCCTGGTTTGGTAATTTAAGAATTGTGGAGGATTTGGAGATTCGGGAGAATGGAAAGGGCGGGTAATTGGGCCTCCGGTTAATTCACTCACACTCGGTTTTCTGTGACGCCGTGGTATCACTCCGGTCGAGCCGGCCCATTCGTGCCGAAACATGGCACACACACACACACTTAATTCTATTTATTTTATTCTTTTAATTTTATTCTATTCTTCAAAATATAATTCAGTTAACATATGAGTAATCTTATAAAGAATGAAACTTACATTTCAGTAAAGCCGGAGTTGGATACAAGTAGCCAGTGAGTTGCAACATCATAATAGTGTAAAGAGCTCCTTGCCTGCTCACCAAACTGGCTAATACTGCCGTGGTATTCATCGTTAAAGATTTCTAACACTTGTACAACCAGAATAGATCAGTGAGCAATCCCGTACAATTTTACGTTGGAAGTCACTTCAAAATCTTCATGTTTGTAGTTTATTCTACTTAGCTTCTACTAGACAAATTTGTGTTTTATCTTATTTAAAATTAGATTATTTTTGAGTTCTACTCAGACGTTTTCTTCGAGAACATTATATCGCGTCGTCACTATCAAGTAATAACTAGTAAGTTTTTTGAACTTTATTTGAAATTTATAGACTTTTTTTATGGTACTATTAAGTGTTTAGGTTTGTCAGTTAACGTCTTGGCTGATAATGGTGATAATAAAGTTTTTCCTTCGTTAATGTTATCGAACACTTTTTATGATCTAGTTTTTAATTGCAAGCAAACGTTCAGGGTAAATTTTAGAGTATCTATTACTTTTTAAAAACTGTGGTTGGTTTACATCACAATTATTGATAGCTACATAGCTATGACACTAGCATCTGGTTGTTTATAAGCATTTGATTTGGATGTCTGAAATGTTCTCAAGTACATTACAAATATGAATTTAAAAAAAAATGTTATCATATCCGATAGCAAGAGCGCCTTGCAACATTTGGCTCGATGTGATATCGCAGAGGTATCTGCTATACCCAGAGGCACCGATAGCCTACATGATCCTAAAATTATTTTATGAATTAAGTACTAGAGATGTCATTCTGAGATTTCAATGGGTTCCTTCTCATATAGGATTAAAAGGAAATGAGGAGGCTGACAGACTGGCCAAACAAGCGAATACAGAAGGAACAAATTTTTTCATTCTGCCTTTTTATACTGAAGTATTACCAAAATTTAAAACCAAAAGCTATATGAGTTTCAAAGAATATTTTGATGAAAGAAGCAGGGAAAAGGGTATCTGATTTAAAACTCTCCAATGTCAACCCCCTCATGTTCAATGGTTTTATGCTGAATGTAAATTTAACTGTCAAACACCACAAGGACACCGGTGACCGCAAACTATTGTTCTTTAATTGTGTCTATAATGACGGTATTCAAAGAGTTAAATAGGATAGATATTATAACATTACTTCGACTGCGAGCTGGATATTATCCCACAAAAAGTTTCGCATTTCTAATGAAAAAAGTAAATTCACCTAACTGTGAAGTATGTGGCACGTTAGATGATGTTTATCATAATTATGCTGGTGGAGTGTGTTAAATTTAAGGTGGCGAGGGACTCACTAATGCGACATAATAATATAAAAAAATATGATTTGGGATCTTTTTCTAGTATTTTGTCAGAACCTTTAAGTAATGCATCACAATCTATTGTAAGGATATTGCAATAGTGATGACCCGCTGGTATTTGATATTTCTAATTAAATTTAGTTAATTTAAAATGTTTTAGATAGATAAGATTGGGCTACGATGGGGCTGACGTAGCCTATTGGTTAATAGCCCCTAAAATAAAATAGATAATAAAAAAAAGAAATGTTTGTGTTAACCAATCCTAACTTTAAAGACCGGCAATACATTTGTGACTCTTCTAAGACTGCTAGTGTCTATGAATGGCGCTGACCGCTTACCATCAGGTAATCCGTCTGCTCGTTTGCTTCCTGTTCCATCAGGAAGCTTTACGACTAATGACTGTTAGTTTCTATGTCTCTGATTGACTGAAGTATGTGATAGTCATTAATGAGTTACAAAGCGTTTTGTTTTGTATAATATTAGAAGCGTCGACATATTTCTGCGTATCATTTTCACCGGTATCCATTGTGGGTAAAAAGCGAGCACGCGTTATATGACTATGCAAATTTTTATTAGGAAAATCAACTTTCTGTTAAGCGTTAAATCTATAGTAAAAACATATTTTTGTGAGAATAGAGAAATTGTTGTGATTGTGAGGATACTATATGTCATTTTTGTTCTTATTAACTCTTGTTAGGTAATTATTACATTAAGAAAATTACGTTTATCAATACCTTCCAAACTATAGTCTTGCTTCTATATTTTTAATAATTTATTTTACGTATGTACCTATGTTTTTACATTCGATAAAACATATATCAAGCGTCTTTGTTACTGTGCCCACTGTAAGTAATTGGTTTTTTTTTCAACAGTTGTGACTGTTAATAAATAAATTCTTATGAAAAATAATAACACCCTGTTCACGCTCAACGTAGAAACACATCAAATAATAATCTCTTCAAGCATTTGTTCATAAAACCTGGAAAGTTCAAACTGGTACGTTCACGCATGATTGACCATGGACATAGCTATACATCCACCAATAACAAACCAGTGTTAATTGAGCTTTGAATGTGGAGAAACATAATACAGAACTAGACAATGATAAACTGGTTTTATGTTACTTAATGTGCATACATATAATAATACTATCTAGACTACGTTTGTATCCTAGTTCCACTTGATTTAACTCCAACTGAACTTCGTTGTCTAGCGGCAGTTATATCATTTATGTATCCGACTTCCTTTCAGTTTCAGCCTCGGAGAAATCTATGAAACATTTTTAGTTCAAGTTTTCATGATTTTAAAATAACTTTTGTTTTGTTGCCTCCACTAGGATTTTCTCCTGTGTCGTGGGTGCGTTTACAAACATACAAGTTCACATACACATGACGCCCAGACCCGGAACAACAATCTGTGGATCACACAAAGAATTGTTCCGTGCGGGATTCGAACCCGCGGCACGTTGCACGGTAACCAGTTACCTAGCCCCCGCGCCAACCGTTTTTTGTTTAAGAACTATTCAGATAGTGCACTTACGTACTGAAAGTACACAATCTGAATAAGTTATTGTATCATTTTTTAGATATTAATGGTACCTACCTTCTATGATAACTACCGTGAGACATACTAAATTAACTAAAAATCACGGGCTACTCACGTAGTAGAACTTTTCTCAGTATATTCACGTGAGTAAACCGCGATATTTAGTTAATTAATGGTACCTGTTGTTAAAATAGACATAATTAAAATCTATACTAACTTCTAGTACTATCTACTTTCGAAATCGTACATTTCACCATCGAACTGCCAGATGAACGGCATAACGTCACTGTAGTTGTAATTATAGTACATGTTCCACCCACCCAAACGAAGCGTTTCGCTTTAAATCTTGTGCGATTAGCAAAGGAATGAAACGTTTTGACAGAGTCTTTGTTACCTCAAGGATACGTTACGTTACGATTAGGTTCCTTATTTTTACGTTACGTTATTTTATATAAAACCTGAGTATCTTCATATCTCGAGTGAATAGGTTCCTTATGGGCAGGCGTGCTCCATCGTAGGCCGTATCGCCAGACCAGAGCAGCATACCAGACGAGAGCAGACAAAATGTGGTAGATGCTATTTTTTATTACATATGAATTACTTATCTAATATAGTAATTTTAATGAAGAATAAAATAAGACTTCGGAGAATGATATGGTTAATGGACACTATTTTGTATAAGATCTTTTCTTTTGTACCCATGTTCGCAAATGAATAAATGATTATGATAGAATAAAAACATAGGCAACAACATAAATAGTGAAAAGTGGGTGTGACATTGTACCTCTACAGTGGCATTAAGTGCCGTAATGTGCACCTCTGCCTACCCCATCGGGGATAAAAAGGCGTGATGTTATGTATGTATGTATGTATGTATGTAAACACATAGGCGTCATTGCTTAAACTTACAACCTTCATTCACGCTCTGCGTCAAGCGAAACAAGTGAAACAAGTGAAACAAGTGAAACAAGTGAATTTATTTCTGCAAATAGGCTACAAGGCAGCACTTTTACACGTCAATTCAAAAAGAGAAAGGCTACTGATTTCGTCTAGACCTAGTAAACTATGTATTAATTATATAATCATCTTTTCCTTTATATTTTGTCATAGTTCAAGCAAAAATATTTCCAATCAACTATAAATAGCAGACATAAAGTTCAAATCAATGTACCATCTGCCTCATTTTCCTCATATCTCATCAGGATTCATACAACACCAGACACATAACTGCAGATCGATATCAGTTACTGTATCAATACAGTAATGAAGGAAAATAATATACTGTCTTTGATGAAAGGAAAGTTACGTACGTAACATCACGCCTTTAATCCCCGAAAGGGTAGGCAGAGGTGCACATTACGGCACTTGATGCCACTGTAATGTAACACCCACTTTTCACTATTTATGTTATGAGTCCCATGTAATAGGGGGTGAGCCTATTGCCATATACCGGGCACAGTTCCAGACTCCGTGCTACCACTGAGGAAAACCCAGTAATACTTTGCCCGACCCGGGAATCGAACCCGAGACCCCTTGCCCGGCAGCCATACTTGCGACCACTTGGGAAAGGAAAGTTATAGAGACGTATATGTATAACAACATAAACATAGGCTTTTTATTTTTGTTATACTTACATGGTGATGCCGTAGTGACACGGAGGCTATCATCAGCAAGGAATGAAAGGAAAACATCGTAAGGCAATCTAGGCCTATAATTTTTAATTATAAATTTGAAATCGCCAACACGCATTGAGCAAGCGTAGTAAGTAATATTCGAACCTTCTCCGTGCAAGAAGAGGCCTTTGGTCAGCAAATACTATAAAATACTAAGTAATATAATAACTTACTTATGGAACCACAAATAATGACAACATAACCTTGAAATTTAGATTCAATAACCAAGTACAGACTACGAACTCAGCGGTGAGATACCGCACAGTAATGTAATTAAAACTTTAAGTTCCCCTTGCACACTCTGCGATGTACCAGACAAGGCATCTGTGGATACACTACGAACTAACTATCATTTAATTAGCATACAGATTGTAGAACATTCTAGACGATTTTACGTCTGAAACTTACGAAACTAAAGCTAGAAAAGGAACCAGTTGGATGGAAATTAAAGTGAAATGGTCTGAATGATTTCATGGCGACACACAGCCTTGAATAATGGCGATCGGGGAACTTCAAGGAAAATATATCATGTAGTAGTCAGATGATCGTTTTATTATAATTACTGCACTCTGCACTTTGCGTTATGACTCCATAGGCTAATAGAGAAATGAATAATAACTGTGTAATTCAATTATCTGCTTTATTAGTGTAGAAATTATATTTATAGTTAGTACAGAAGCAGGTGGTATGGTTGGACTTTGCAAACCAAAATAGTTAAGTATCGATTACTCACATAATTTAGCGTACTATCTATCTTATTTTCTAAGTCCTAAGGTTGCAAATACACAGCTAGAGTGTGTATCATCATGATTGATCTGTGACTCTGAGTGAAGAATTACCAAATTACTAATTTATTTGTTTCTCCCTAGTTCAGCAGCCCCAAACAATGGCTAGGCAATCGATCTCTTTCGCGTTAATTACATTTTATATTAGACTTGATTGGTATATTTTATTAACACTTTATTGATATACCAGTTAAAATGACGGAGATTTTCTCTTATTGGAAATGATTCATTTATCTAGATGGAGATGGAGGATGGAGAGAATTCTGATTGAAACTCAAAATTATTTCAATCTTCAAGACTCGCAAGTATCATGAGTTTTTCAAATAGGTATGATTAATTTTATCCGCATTATTTTTGCACATTAAATAGTCTTACTGTGATAAAAATAAATCAATATGTGATTTAAAATTAATTATTCAATATTATGGCTAGCCTGATGTATAGATTCGTTACATAGATATTATGTTTTGGTCTGAATTTATTTTGTTTTATCAGAAATTAAATACAATATCAAAAGCACATTTGAAGAAAGGACACTCCGGGCGTCGGGGATCGCGAGACGATCTCCGGCCACCGTAATAATAATATAATAATAATAATAATAATACGTTTATTTGTTAGAATATTGTTACAAAGGTGTTACAAATAAATTTATGTTCTGAATATTCTGCTGTTTCCAGCGTACAAATATTAAAAGTTAAAATTAAAACAAGACAGGTAAAAACATACAATCAAAAATAAAAAATTGGATAATATGGACGATTAATTATCACAATGTAGTAAAATTATTTTCGGTACAAAATTAAGATTATTTTTACAATTTACTTAAAGGATAATAAAAAGTCGTCTAGGTTGAATTTAGAATTAAATTTTTCATTCAAAAAATCATTTGTTGAATAATAACATTTATGCAAAAGAAAACAAAACAGCTTCTTTTTAAATTCCATAAGATTAAGGCTTTTAAAACCATTTGGTAATTTATTATAAATACGAATTGCCATACAGTATACATTATTAGAAAAAAGTTGAATTCTTTGTTGTGGTACACATAACTTATGAGTATGTCTGCTTTTTCTTATTACAACATTATTATGTGTTTGAAATAAACCTATATTTTTATGCGTAAGCGCGGGCCTGCAGACGACGAGCATGGGTGGCTCGCCAACCGACCAGAACCTGATCCGAGCGTACGGCACGTCGCGTTCCGCGCGCGCCTCAAAGGGACCTCCACGGATGGGGTCCAATAAGGCTGATGTCGATACGGAGCTGCGGAGAACCTAACGGGTTGCCGGGGCTCCGGCTCGAGGTGCAGTAGTAGGAACGGGGTGGTTTTTAGACAGTAAGAGTTTGACACTCCCTTTCGCCTCACCCAGGCGGGAGAAGCCTTTCGATGATTTCCCTACTTAAAAAAAAGCTGTTTGTGTTTAAAGTATTTACTTTAGTAGAAATAAAACAATACGAAACTGCTCTAAATGTTTATTTCATCAATCAATTTGTTTTGAAAATGCTACCCATTTAATTTGTAACTTAACATTTCTAATGGGTGCTTTTAATTATAAGATCCGATGCTCTTTCTGCAACTGCAACTAGTGGGGCAAAAATGCTACCACTTACAGGATTAGGTATTACACTAGCATCCACGACTCGAAGTCTGTGCACTCCTATCACATTCAATTGATTGTCCACCACAGTACCCATAGGACAAGTACCACAATGGAATATAGTCGATGCTACCATACATAATGCGTAACATCGCCAGTACTCCGTGCTTCCAAACTCGAACTGGTCACATTTGTCTGTAGCCTTCAAAAACTCTAAACCCATGCTTTGAAACTTCGAAAAACCCTCTATTCTAACGTAATCCTTCATGTATTCAACAACAGCATCTAAATCTTCGTCGTTCGAGTAATACCCGTTGAATATTTGCGGCTGGTCGAAGGGATCAGTACTCCTTAACTTCACCACTCCCTGAGATTTAGGAATCACATTTAGCAACACTGTTAATAACATTTGCTTGTTGTCAGCTAAAGAGTATATCCGGTCACAAACTGAGTTTTCTAAACCAATGGTAAATGCACAAAATGATAAAAAGTATGAATAGTCATCGACAATGAAGTTCACGGTTACATAATCTGGATGGTGGCTAGATTTGTTCAGAGCCGTGTTGCCTATTATCATTGGTGCAACGAGCTGATGTGCATCGAAAGGCTCAGGGTTTGCTTCCCTGTTTGTTTTAAAACACATCATTGGTCCTATACTATTTTGCAGATTTCTCCCTACAGGAAGATTTGATATGACGTCTATATTCATTCCCTCCAAATCGTCTTTAGGACCTATTCCTGATAGCATAAGCAATTGTGGTGATTTAAAAGGACCAGCTGTGAGAATTACTTCTTTCCTTGCTTTCACGGTTATAGTTTGGCCATTCTTAACAAATTCTACACCTACAGCAGTTTTGTTATCGTCAAAAATTATTTTTGTTGCCATACTGCCTCTCGTTATGTGTAAATTAGGATTGTCTTTAATAGGAGTCAGATAACCGGTGGCAGTTTCAGTACGAACCCCTTCCGCAATGTGGTACAAGGCTGTAGAATATCCCAAAATACCAGCTCCAATGCCGTCAAGAACAACTGGTTCACCAGCATTTTTATAAGCTTCCAAATATTCGTCACATACTGATCGATTTTCTTTTGTCACTCCAATATTACCTTCAGTGCCATGATATTTTCCATAGCGTGACTTGAGAACACGTGTATCATATAGTTTTTCACTTTTTTTGAAGTATTTTTGCATATTAGTCCAATTCCAAGAAGGGTCGTTGCTCGCTATAGAAAATCTTTCGTAGTCTCTAGGGTTTCCACGTGAATATATCATGTAGTCAACAGCGCCAGAGCCTCCTAGAACATAACCCCGATCGTAAACTCCTGCCTGTTGATGGCACTTCTCCGTAAATCCATCGTCCAGTGTAGTGAAGTTCCATGTAGAATGAGAGTTAATAAGGTAAGTCACTAAGCCTGGCAACTGGAGAGGAAAATGGTACGTTATTTTTATTTCATCAAATAACATCGTATATTATGAAAGAATAAAAGTTCTTACGTTATTATCTATGCTTGGGTTAGGACCTGCTTCTATTATCAAGGTCTTAAAGTTTGCTTCAGCCAGCCTAGCAGCCACCACACATCCTGCAGTGCCACCTCCTATAACTATGTAGTCATACGTGTCTCCATCTGTGAAGTAAATAGTATTACATCACCTTTTCTCCGTACCGATATAAGCAAGCAGTCGCTGGTCAAAAAGTTTGTTTGCTGAGGTGTGTCGATTATGACAGATGTTGACTTTTTATAGTTCGTTACCTGTTCCATGGTTAGCTAATATGATCAAAAATCGTATCGTACGTAAATACGTATCACAAGTAAATGCTTTTTAGCGATAAAGTTTACCCTCTATTACATGCAAACATCCAGTTTTGTTTCAGTAAACTGGATTTTTCAGTAAATGTAGCACCATTGCTTATTATTTCAGTATAAAAATATGGCGTAAAGTAATGTCATGTTAGTCAGGTTTCAAATTTATTTCGTATTAGATCATTTATACTTCAAACATATTACATAATTGATCTGTCACTGAAAAACGTTTCTTCAGTATTTCTATGGGATAAGTCCGGATTGATCGCTAGGGAGTAGGAAAGTTAGGAGGTTAGGTACGAAAAATAAAATATATTAATTACCAGAAACCTTCGCATCTTCGGGATACAAGTAGCCATACATGTTGAGCATCGCCAGGACGCTGAAAGCGCTCTGGACGTTTGCTATCTGCGCCAATTGAGCGGTGGTGTTCATTGTCACCTGCGTTAATATGATTATATATTGAACACAGTCAAACCTATAAATACAGGATTTTCACCACAGCAAACACTTATAATTAATGAAACTTCATGAAGAAGTATTAGTGAAAAATCTATATTTTCCAAGCCAAGTTGTTTACGCTGATATGTTTGTGTATTTACTTACTTACCGATTTTTATATGCTGCAACTAGTTTTCCACTGAATTTACGACACGGTTATATCTTTTTAATCACCAATTAACAATAGCTTACGCAAATGTCAGACTATGATAATGAGAATAAAACCAGTTTAGAAATTCTATTACGTCTGTGCTCGCTTTAACAACTTTTTTGCTGGAATTTTAGACTACTTCCACCAATACTAATTTAATATTGTGGCACTAATTAATGTTTTTTAAACTACTAAAAATGTAAGTTAAAAACTGTGTATTTGTTTTATATTATTAATTATTAATCTACAATAATTGGTTTTAAAGTAGGTTAACGTTAATTAATTTCAATTACAGTTTAAAGTATCCTATAGTAATAGATATTTCAATATTAACTATTTAAATGTGAGTCGATTTTCAAAGTTAAAACGTAGTATGTTTTGTTAATACATGTTTATACGTTTATTGTGGCTTCTATTTATGTTAAGGATTAAAATAATAACAAGACAAATTAAAAGTATGATTTATTACAAAAATCTGCTTCACACTTACTTTAATCAATATGCGATATCGATTGATGTTTTAAGAACTGTCCTCTATAATCATTTCTACTCCTTTTTCAGCCAGTGCGACTGTTGGCCCAAAGAGAGCACTTCCAATGGTGCCGGGTATAACACTAGCGTCAACTACACGTAGCCCTCTGACGCCGATAACATTCAATCGACTGTCTACCACAGACCCCATGGAACATGTTCCAACGTACCTTCCTGGGGGCACAATCATGCATAAAGCGTAACATCTCCAAAACTGACGAGACCCAAACTGAAATCGACCACATTTTCCAGTAGCTTCTATAAACTTTAAACCCATGCTTTGGAATTTGGGAGTTTCTATTAGTTTGTAGTAGTCTATAATGTAGTCCACTATATCATTCAAATCACTATCGTTCGTATAAGAATTAGGAAATATATTTGGCATTGCGAATGGATCGGTATTCCTTAAAGTGACTTCTCCATAAGATCTAACATTCAAATGCAAAATGATAGATAGAAAAATTTGCGTGTCTTTTGAGTAAATTCTATCACAAATTGAATTCTGAAATCCCAAACTAAACCCACATAGTTGTGGAAGATAAGTAGTATCATCTATTATGTAGTTTATGATTTGGTAATCTGGATCACAGCTACAATTTCTTAAAGCTGAGTAGCCCGTTATTAGTTGCGCTGGATAATTGTTGTCATCGAATGGCTCATTTTTTGCTGTTACGTTTGTTTCGAAACCCAGTAGTACTCCGACACAATCTTGCAATTTCTTTCCTACGGGAATATTTGATATCACATTGATATTCAATTTCTCTAATCTCTGTTTAGGACCAATCCCTGACAACATAAGAAGTTGAGGAGTTTTGACAGCTCCAGTTGTAACAATGACTTCCTTCCTTGCTCTGACGGTGATCGATTTACCATCTTTTACAAATTGTACCCCAACAGCTCTTTTATTCTCATCAAAGATTATTTTTACTGCTGTGCTATTTCGAGTTAAGTACAAATTAGGATTATCTTTAAGAGGCGATAAGTAAGCTGTTGCAGTTTCCGTACGGGATCCATTTGCTATGTGATATAGAGCTCCAGAATATCCTATTATTCCAGCTCCAATAACATCTGCAACCACGTTTTTTCCAGCTTCTTTATAGGCTTGCAGATACTCTTGAGTTTCAGGACGGTTTTCTTTAATTACTCCAATTCTACCTTTGGTACCGTGATATCTTCTGTAACGTGAATTAAGAATTTCATTGTCTTCCAGTTTTTCGCTTTTTATGAAATATTTTAACATATTTTTCCAATTCCATGAGTCTTCATTAAATGATCTGTAGTCTTGAGGGTTGCCGCGTCCATACAGCATGTAGTCGGTATTTCCTGTACCTCCCAACACTTTACCAAAAAATATTCCGCTGCCTTTGTGACATTGATCTGTGAAACCATCGCGCGGTGTAGTAAAGTTCCAATCCATGCGCGAATTCTTTATATAGGTTAGTAAACCAGGTGCCTAGAAAGGACATAATCTAGTTAGGTACCCATAAGTTTTTATTCTTATCTCAACATATGTTATGTAGTCACTCACATAATTTTCTTCTCCTGGATTATTTCCCGCTTCTATAACCAATGTCTTGAAGTTTGCATCGACCAGTCTCCCAGCTACCACACACCCAGCAGTGCCACCACCCACCACGATGTAGTCAAATATGTCATCATCTTAGGGAACAAATACCGAAAACAAATGCATACACATAATTATGTTCTTCATCTGTCAATGAAATTAATTTCATTCTGAAATTGAAGATAAATAAGTGAAAATTATTCACCGGAAACTGGAGCATCTTCACTAAATAAGTAACCAACCATATTAAGGAGAGCCAGGGTTCTGAAGGCTCCTTGAATGTCGAGTATTTGATCTATTTGCATGCTCGTCACGCCTGAAGACATGATGAATGCTATGGAAATAGTAGATTTTTTTTAAATCTTGAAGGGAAGTAAACATATCAACTCTTATGCAATGTTTCGAAAATAATTGACTCAAGAAGTACCCGAACTCGCGAAATTTTTTTTTTGAAAAGCAATTAATCTGATTCAGTCATTCAGTTTTGCATCTTATCTAGTCACCACTTAGAAGATTTTGACGGCACGGTTGGCGCAGTCGTTGGGCAACTGGCTGCCGCGCAACGTGTTGCGGGTTCGATTTCCGCACGGAACAATTATTTGTGTGATCTAAAAATTATTGTTCCGGGTCTGGTTGTCACTTGTATGTGTATGTGAACTTGTATGTTTGTAAACGCATCCACGACACAGGAGAAAATCCTAGTGTGGGGCAAAGTTTCTATAAAGAAAGAAAAAAAAAACAATTATTAAAACAGAATATTAAAGAAAAATTGTACTTACGTGTCCTAGTTGCACCACTTCGACTATCATGGATAAATTGTACTAACAAATTGAAGTGCAGTCACATTTTAAATTAAATTAGGAATATTCATGTAATTATGCTAATGATAAGTATAAATTAATAGTATGTACAATAATTGTTGCTAAAAAAATAAAAGTAACATTATATAAATGAAAAGAACCTGTTTGAGTTTCTAATTTTTATTAAGGTTATATTTACATCGCATTTTATTACTGAAGTGGGTGCATTTGTATTGTCTGTTTTCCTTGTGGTGGAATTGCAAATGGATGACATCTATTCAAGGCTCACGAAGTGTACAGATAACGTGCTGACTAATTTTCAGACGCAGGTTACTTCCTGCGTCGCCCGACCCGAACCCGACTCGCGTACGGCGCGTCGCATTCCGCGCGCGCCTCGAAGAGCCATCAGACCACCATAGATGGAGTCCAGTAGGGCTGATGCCTGGTACGGAAGGCCTAACGGGTTGCCGGTGCTCCGGTTCGAAAAGCAGGAGTAGGAACGGGGTGGTCTTTAGTCAGTAAGACTCGGACATTCCCTCTCGCCAACCCAAGGCGGGAGAACTCTTTGGGTGATTTTCCCCCCTCAAAGAAAAAGTCACTGCACCAAGTTCACCTGCGTCTGAAGATAGATCAGATTAGTTAGGTTGGAAGTGTCCAACCAGCTAAAATTAGAAATAATTGGGCAAAGGCAAGGCCTATCATCAGCAGTGAACTTCTTGTGGCTTATCATGTGCATTTATAAGAACAATATGAAATTCCACTATCTCGAAAACCGGTACTGGACCACGAGTCGTTTTATTTCAATTAATATTATTATTGCTTCTAGCTCATGTTCAAAGCAAGCTATTACTGACTGAACAAAATTTTATATTGCTTACAAAATTTGTCATCCTCAATAATTACGTTTATGAACTTAGCTTTATAATTTTATCATTTCCAAAATACCTACTAAACAATTTGTTGCTTAGAATGTTGAGTACTTAGTTTGTTGAAAAGGTGAAAAAACCAATAAAGGAATTGTTTATAATATTGGGGCAATGAATATTTTACTTGATAAAATTACTTGAGACACAGAAACTATTGCCTAGGCACATTTACTTTCATTTACAAATAAATTAATTATTAATAGTAAAACGTACGATATGTATAATAAAAATATCAAATCTAGTTTTAAGCAATCCATTTTAATAAATGTTTACAGTATTACACCCTTACGTACATATGCGATCGTTAACAATCATTTCCGCAGCCTTTTCTGCAAGGGCTACCTCAGGGGCAAAAATAGATCCTCCCAAAGTATTAGGCATAACAGTAGACCCAATTACACGTAGTTTATTCACTCCGTACACACGTAGGTTTGTGTCCACTACTGAGCCCATAGCACAGGTACTTGCAGTGCGTCCTGTCAGAGCAATCATGCACAAAGCATAGCATCGCCAGTACTTCCTCGATCCGAACTCATGTTTCCTGCAGTCCGGTGTTGGTTCCATAAATTCTAACCCAAGGTCTTGGAAATAAGGAGTGTTTTCAATTTTTGTATAATGTTGAAGGTTTGTTATCATTTCATTTAAGTCATCTTCATTATCATAAAAGCCATATTCTATAATTGGCTCGTCATTGGGATCAGTACTCCTTAAAGAGACACTTCCACGTGATTTTGAATTGATGTTCAGTAAGATTGACACCATCATCTGGGTGTTGTTTGATGATTCAAGGAGTCTGTCACAAATACAGTTTTTGAGTTTTAAAGTAAATGAGCATAATGTAAGAAAATACGCAGGGTCGTCGATGATGAAGTTTTGTGTCTCATAGTCTGGGAATTCACTGCTTTTATTCACAGCTGAGTAGCCTAATATAATAGGAGCTGGAAGCCTACTGGGGTCAAACGGAGGAGGGTTTGCTTTAATATTTGTTTTGAAATCAATGAATGCTCCTACTACACACTGTAGACTCTTCCCTACTGGAAGGTTTGATAGCACATTTATTTTCATTCTCTGCAATTCTTCTTTTGGGCCAATACCTGATAACATAAGAAGCTGAGGCGACTTCACTGGTCCAGCAGTAACTAAAATTTCCCTTTTTGCTCTCACAGTAATTCTTTTTTCATGTTTCACAAATTCAACGCCAATAGCATTTCTGTCCTTGTCAAAAATGATTTTTGTTGCTAAACTGTTTCTAGTTACATATAATTTTGGGTTGTCTTTTATAGAATTCAAATATTCACTACCAGCATCATTTCGCTTTCCATTAAAGATTGTGTAGAGACACCTTGAATATCCTAGTCCTTTACCAGGACCAACATTATCGATTACTACCTTTTCTCCAGCTTCTTCAAAACCTTTTAAGTATTTATCTATAAAAGGACGATCTTCTTGTGTTATTCCAATTTCACCTTTAGTGCCATGAAATTGTCCAAATCGAGAATTGAGAATTTCTTTGTTTTTTAATTTTTCACTCTTTTTAAAATACTTAAGCATATTTTTATATTCCCAGGATGGATCGCCTGTGGCTTCGGAAAAGTTATGGTAGTCTCGTTCATTTCCTCGTCCATATATCATGTAATTTAGAATTCCTGTTCCTCCGATACCTCTTCCATAAAAGGATCCACCATCAGCTTTGAGACAGCTATCTGTTCGACAGTTAAGTTCTGACGTATAGTTCCAGTCTATGCGGGAGTTTTTAATGTATTGTACCAGACCAGGATTCTGTAAATGCAAGAAAGTAAATTTTATTGATAATAAAACATCGTAATTTGTTTACTGGGCGTCTCTTGTTTTTACAGTTGTAAATATGATTTTCTTTATTTTGAAGTATTATTTAACAATGTAATTTGTAGAGGAATTTGTTTTCATGAAATTTATTTCTTAAAATAGCTTGCAACTTGTTTTTACTATGATTAATTGAATGAATGAAGAAATCACAGTTCGCTTTACATACAAGACTTTCCACACCAGGAATATCACCAGCTTCTATCACCAGGACACTGTAATTAGCTTCCACCAGCCTGGTGGTCACCACAAGTCCAGCAGTTCCACCACCAACCACCACATAGTCAAACATGTCACCACCTGGAAAATTTAAACAAATTAAATGTTTGACACTTAATTTAGCATGTAGTTTTTATTAATTTATTTAGTTTTTATCTATGAAAATATAGACCTGGCTTTGGCATTGACGTAATACACATTAAAAAGAAGCAATACAACTCTTGAGGGAGAATAATACACGGTAAAATGGGGTGAGCAGAGATTGTGACGTGGAAAGAGACAGAAGAGGGGTGAATCGATATTATGAAGAATATCTCAATATTTGTACAATTGATTTAAATGTTGTTTATTTTTTCAGGTTTACTCAATTCAAGTCTTGATTTTGCTATTTACCATATTATTTAAGGATTTTATTATAAAACATATTATATCTACATATTTACAAGTACACCTACTTTGGTAGTAAACTTTTTTATGGGATAATCCGGTGAACTATCAGACGGATCACCTGATGGTGAGCAATCAGCGCCGTCCAAGGACACCCGAATAACCAGAGGCATCAGTGCGTTTCCAGGCTTTTGGGGATTAGGAATTTGAGGATTGTTGGGTAGGTATTCGGGAATTAGGAAGATTGGGGACGGGTAATCGGGCTTCCGGTAACCTCATTTACAGGACGAAACCCAATTTTATTTTTAAATAAAAATAAATATTTTAATTGATAGATGTCCAAACTTAGAGTGTTTGGATGTGTTCTTGAAACTAAATGGAGTTATTTTTAACGTCTTCTTAGATAATGGTTTATGCCATTATTGAAAAAAGTATAAAATCGAACTTACTGGAAACGGTCGCATCTTCAGGGTAAATATTGGAGTTTATGTTGAGCAGAGCTAGGACACTGAACGCTTGTTGCAGCTGCCTGACTCTCGATATTTGGGTCGAAGCAGATAACATGATACGATTCTGGAACACAACTTACTAATAATGCTTGGGCAATAGTAAGTGTTGCGTATTTTATAAAGTCGTATGATGATAAATAAATTAATTGATTCTCAGGCTATTGCGTCAATGGAAAAGATAATTAACATTATCAAAAGTATATTTTGTAACAAATGTGTAAGTAGAAAAAATTTGATAGATTAAATAAAACTAATGCTAGACTTGAGCACATAATAAAGTGAAAGTTACGAAAACATAAATGAAATAAAAAACCTCTATCAATCGACTATATTTTAAGTCACAGTTATGACATTTTTTTCCACAGGTTTGATTTCCTGGTGGACAAGATCGTACCTTCTACTCACTGTTGCTGGTACCTATTGCAGCCTGAGACCGTTGTGCCTAAATGATTATCCTTGACTAGCGACTTTCTTATTTAACTGAAAAGATAATTCAAAAAAGGCTTGTTTATAATCTATTTTGTGAATTTAAAAATAGTAATTTTAATTATAGATTGCATACATTACAACATTTTCTATAAAATTTCCTAATACATTTGAACAATATCAGTAGGTACCAAAATTATTCGCCTACTTTTTGAGGGGAGAAAATCATCAAATGACTTCTCCCGCCGTGGGTGAGGCGAGAGGGAGTATCAGACTCTTACTTACTGACTAATCCAAGTGGTTGCCGGAACCGGGGCCCGGTAACCTTTGCTGTTCTTTGACCCCGTGATTTTAATTGCTCAATCTTAACACTTTTGAAATATATTTAATAAATTATTATATTTTTCTGCTTACGTCATGTTCCTAACTGTTTGACGAGGACCTCGACCAGTTTCAAGTCATACTGCAGGCTCATAATTATTCATGACACACGACGCGGTGACTATTGCTACTCGAGTAACAGTATGGCTCTAGTATGGCTTGAAACTGATCAAGTTCTTCGTCAAACAGTTACATCAGAAAGCCGAAAAAGAAAATTAACAAGAGTTTTATATAACTGCCTCGTTGGCCGAGGAGTCGCGACGGCTGGGCAAGGGGTCTCGCATACGATTCTAGGGTCGGGCAATGGACTACTGGTATTTTTTAATCTCAGTAGTATATATGGCAATAGGCTCACCCCCTATTACATGGGACTCTAAGTAGGCAAAAAATGGCAGACAAGGAAGTCAGTACATTTATCCTGAGTCATGTTTTATTAATTTTTTAACCTAAGTAACAATCCGTCTCAAGACATACCGAACAGTAGCGTAAGTTCTAATAAATAGTAAAACGTGGGTGTTACATTGTGCAGTGGCATTAAGCGCCGTAATGTGCACCTCTGCCTACCCCTACGGGGATAAAAGGCGTCATGTTATGTAGTTTTATATAAATCACATGGAATCTTATTCCCTTTCTTTCTCACAGATCTTAGGATTGAAATTATGACCACGAACATTAACGTCGTTCATACAATCTCTGTACCAACAGATCAGTTAGTATAATTGAATTATATCAAAATTGTAGACCAACCCTGTGGCAATTTATGCATGAAACCTTAAAAAAGATTTATGATACCAGTAAAAACAACATTACTCCACGAAAAATGATTTCCTTAGGGTATACTATATTTACATACTCAGATATATACATATATATGTGTATGAATATTTGTAACAGACTAGCGTTTGGCTAGCTGCTTCACTCCCGTGGAATTCAGCTATAACTCCGATTCTACATGAATATAGGAAGATTTTTTTTTTTTTTTTTTTTTTTTATAATATATGTATTGCAATCTATCATATAGATATTCAGCAATATTTTTGTTAAATGCAGCAGACTTGTACGCGGGCTGTCCAGTGACTGCCCCGTTTATATTTACAACCTCTTAGATGAGGTCTTGAGGAATCTTTCTCTTTAGTCTTCTAGCGACTGTTTGGGTGTCCATCAGGTTTACTGCTAGCTTGTTTGGATGGCTTGTGATTCGGTCTTTGTACACTTTAGTCATTTTTGAAATTTCTTCCATTACAGTACTGATGCAGAGGTCGTGGTGGAGTCTGTTATTTGAGACATACCATGGTGCGTTTGTTATCATTCTCAACATTTTTGACTGGAACCTTTGCACAATTTCAATATTTGACTTTGCCGCTGAGCCCCACAGCTGTAGGCCGTATGTCCATGTAGGCTTTATTATGCATTTATATAGCAACAATTTATTTTCCATAGAGAGTTGAGACTTGTTACTCAGTAGCCAATGCATTTTGCGTATCTGTTGACCCATAGCCAGCCGCTTGGTAAATATATGCTTTTTCCAAGTCAGGCGTCTATCCAAATATATTCCGAGGTACTTGGCGTATTCCTCTTGTGGGAGAGGGATGCCGTTTAGGGTCACAGGAGGACACGTTCCTTTCTTGTTTGCGAAAGTCACCTGGACAGACTTAGTTTCATTGGCCTTGATTCGCCAGTCTTTGAGCCATTTCGATATTTGGTCGAGACTAGACTGAAGTTTTTGTGATGCAACGTCTGGTGAAGTGTCCACCGAGAGGATAGCTGTGTCGTCCGCAAATGTTCCGGTGACGACACCTTCTGTTATTGGGAGGTCGGCTGTGAAAAGTAGATATAACATTGGGCCCATTACACTACCCTGTGGTACGCCAGCTTGGACAGTATGTAAAGTAGTTTTCTCTTCATTTTGTTTCACGAAAAAGTGTCTGTCGCTTAGATAGGACTTTATAAGATTGTAGAAATTTATAGGTAGGTTTCGTTTTATTTTGAACAGTAGTCCGTCATGCCAAACACGATCAAATGCTTGAGATATATCTAAGAAGGCCGCAGTACTATACTGTTTTGACTCAAACGCTTTATTGATATGTTCTACTAATCTGTGCACTTGTTCTATTGTACCGTGCCCCCGGCGAAAGCCAAACTGGTGGTCAGGTAAAAGTTTATTCAAAGTAATAATCGGGAGTAATCTGCGCAAGATAAGTATTTCCATAACTTTAGATGGTATGGGCAGCAGACTAATAGGTCTATATGATTGCGCCTCTACAGGGTTTTTACCCGGCTTGGCAACCATTATAACTTGTGCTACTTTCCACTGGGGAGGAACCATACTTCTTCGGAGGATAGCATTAATAAGAAAAGTTAGGAATTGAACGCCTTCCTTTGGTAGTTCTCTTAAAATTCTTCCAGTTATGAGATCGTATCCAGGGGCTTTATTTGGGTCCAGTGCCCTAATCGCTGTTTTTACTTCTTCCTTTGTGACTTTGGTAATAGGAGGATCCAGTTGATGGGTTTGGTTCAATAATTGTGTAACTTCCTGGATTTTAGAAGAGCCCGTATCGGGGTTTGGTGTAAAAACCAGTTTAAGATGCTCAGCGAATGTATCAGCCTTGTCCGCATCACTGGAGGCCCATTCCGAGTTACTCTTACGGATAGGAGGTTGATTAGAGATTGGACGTTTAAGTTTTTTAGTGACTTTCCATAAAGAATAGTTGGTTTCTGCTGTTGCATTCAGGTTCCTTAAGGAGGTTTGGATATTTTCATTATTGTTATTCTGCAATAGTGTTTTTAGTTTTCCTTGTAGATAGTTCAGATGTTTTTTGTCAGCAGGATAACCTGTTTTTTGCCATTTTTTTCGAGCCTCTCGTTTTTCAGTTAGTAGTTCTCGAACAGATAAGGGGCATTCTTGTTTGTGCGGTAAGTCTTTAGGAACTGGAGTAGCAAGCCAAGCAGATTGTTGAACAGAGCTATTAAAATGTTCTACTGCTTCTGTTATGTCGTTGTCCGTTATTAGGGCAATTTTTATATTCAAGCTTTCCACCAGTAGCTGTCTAAAGAGGTTCCAGTTAGTTTTATTGGTATGCAGCTTGCATGGCTTAGGTGACACTATGATTTTCTTTTTTAATGCTATTTCAACAGGGGAGTGATCAGATGATAATTCGGTACTCGTTCTGCTTGTAAAAAATTTACTAGAAATTCCTTTTGTTATACAAAAGTCGAGCAAGTCTGGTAATTTATTCTTGTCTGTAGGCCAGTAGGTGGGTTCTCCAGATGAAACAACGTTAAGATTTAGCTTTTCTATGGCCATTAGCAGCTGTCTACCTTTCGCAGTTATGACACGTGAGCCCCAGTAATGATGCTTGGCATTGTAGTCTCCTCCAGCTATAAATCTATGTCCCAGTGTGGTAAAGAACGTTTCATAATCATTTAGCTTAAGTTTATGTTTAGGTGGGCTGTAAACAGCGGATACTGTGAATGGGCTTGTCCAATCTTCAATAACGATATTTGTTGCTTGAATCTCCTCCGTGCAATAATGAACTGCTTCATGATGTTTTATATTAGATTTTATTAGTACCGCGCTTCCAGCATGTGCTCTGCCATCGGGGTGCATCGTGTGATATGTTTTGTAGTTGTGAATGTTAAAATGACTCTTTTTAGTAAAGTGTGTCTCTGTTACTAGAAGAATATCAATTTTCTGTGTGTCTAGGTATGTTCCAACCTCAAGGGTATGTTGTGACAGCCCATTGGCATTCCACACGGCAATTTTTAAGCAATCGAATCTGACAGCTTGGTTGTGAGGGCTATTATTAAGTTTGTCAGGGTAGTCAATTGTTGCATCATTTGTTTCATCAATGTCATTATTTCATGCATGTTGTGTTGGTCGACATGTTTTGTCTCGTTTGTTGTATTTTCGAGTTGATTCTTGTTGGTAAGTACGTCTTTATAAGTTTGATATTCGCTGTTGCGAACTTGTTTATCCGTGGTTTTTTCCCTTTCTATCGTAACACTCTGTTTATTAGATATATAGGTTTTTCTGCGTTCTGGTGCCTTTGGGAACTTAAGATTTTGGAGGTCTCTATATATTTGACAGCCCTTATAATTTGCCGGGTGGTTACCATCACAGAGAACACATTTTACACAGTCTGATTTTGTTTTCCTTATGCAATCTGCAGAGAGATGGTCGCCAGCACATTTGATGCATTTAGGTCTACGGTGGCAGTACGTTTTGGTGTGGCCATATTGTTGGCATTTTGCACACTGAGGTATTTCACGTTTTGGGCGAGGAGGTTCGAAGGTTACGATGCAGTTCATTAGATTTCTAACCTCGTAAATGCATTTATTATTGCGCCTTGTTTCTAGCTCTATTATGAACAGTGGCAATGGTTTTTTTGTTATTATTTGCTTAACATTCCATATGTTGGTACATGTATGTCCTATTTCATTTAACGCCTCTTTTATTTCTTCAGGGTCTGTTGAAGGGTGCATGTTTTTGAGAACCACTTTAAAGCTTCGTTCGTGTTTTGGCTTATATGTAAAGAACTCTGTATTTCTCATTTCTAGTTGGTGTACAATGTTCCTGTATGTTTCTGAATCTTTGGACTGTATTTTAACCTGGTCATTGCTCAGAACTTTAAGATTATATTTATCATGCGCAAGTTCAT